AAAGAATGAGTATTTCCATGTGGGTTAATACCTGGGGAGATGATTCCACCCTCTCCCTCTAGATGACAGCAGAACACCAGCCTTGCTGTAAGGGATTGTTTCCTGAATGTATTTCAAAAGAATATTGTTATTTGTTGTCCTGCTTGATAACTTTTTAAAGAGGTTGGAATTACTGTTGTAATATATTGCCCTGCTTCAGAACAAACTCTGCATATTTTGGAAAGCTGATAAAAAGAAAAAGCACCAGGAGTTTAAACATGTTCTTTTATGAATATCTGTTTCCGCAAACACGAAACATGTTCGCACCTGTGATAAATATCTCTGTATTTCACAGGTAAAGTGCGAATCTGATGCTTCTTGACAAGCAAGATCCTGAACCCTGAGAGGCATCCTCGTTTCTAACACCACATGAATGCATTTTTCTGGAGACCACTGCGGAGGAGTACGTCTTGTGCCAGTGCAGTGCTTGATGAATGAGCATGGTGGTTTGATTTTTGCATCCTTCCACAAAGAGGCTGATAAAGCTAGTGGTATGATGTGAGCTCCCTGCCTTGGGCTGCATTGTCTCCCAGCTGGCCCGTTAAATGCCTCTCAAGCCTGTGGCCAGGGACAACTCTGAAAAGCCGGCTCCCTTCTGTCACCGAGGCGGATCAGGCTGAAGCGCCTTGTCCTGCTGCTCTGGGCTTTCCCACCCACCCGCTTCTGCCGCCAAGGACAGGGCTCTTGGTGACTGCTTCTCTAAATGGCATTTGTTGCACCAAAGGCAAGGCGGTCCCTCTCTGTTCCCTTGCAGCCAGCAAGGCATTTGCCTGCGTGGGTTCTGGCCCTTGGAGAGCTGCTTTTTTTTCTGTATGGAGGCCTTTTCAGGGATCAGCTCCTTTTCCCGGAGTGTTTCTGCTTCCTGGGAGACTCCATGAGACTCAGTGACTGATTTTCAAATGCTGAGCTAGGAGACGGAGCAGCATGCACCTCTGCCACGGCACCCAGGGGATGCACCCACATGCACTGTTGGCTATTTTGGACTTGCTTTGCTTGAACTTGGTTCTATAGAAAGAAGAAAAACATTGACAAGTGAATGGAGAGGGTTCTTAGGAATGCAGATGTCTTCTTAGGAAGAAAAGCCAGAAAAAAATTACACAAGCTCTTCAAAAAACATACTTAAATGCTCTTTGCACTTCCCCCAGGTGATCTTCCTCTCACAGAGAAACGGGACAAGTTGAACTGTGAAACAGTAAGTGGATTACTAGTTATATTTTTTTTTAACAGGTTGGCTTTTGTTAACTTTTAAAATTGTTTCAGAGATGTTTGGGTATCCCAGTCACACTGCCAAAGATTTATGTCTTTGAGTTGGAGGTACAAACAGGAATTGCTGTTGGTGCAAACAGGAAGAGGGGGAGGAACAACCAGGCGGAGCAGAACTGGGCAACTTTCTAACATGGCTTTATGCGTGGGTGGGAACGTTTCCGTTTAGCTCCCTGCTTGCTCTCCTCACTGCCCCAGTCCGAAGCAGGACTGTGAGAGCCGGCTCCACTGCTTGTGTCGATCCACAGTAATGAAAATACAGGAAACGTCCAAACGGATTGTGTTTACAGGAATGACAGCTCTGGTTTTGAGGTTGGGGAATGGGGATGACATTCATTTTTTTCTGCAGTTATACTTGGATTATGTAGAAGCCAGAAAATGGGCTTCAAGATAACTTTACCCTATTGATTCAAATATTGCTTGCTTTTTGGGGTTTACTTTCTAAATCGGTAGGTGCAGCTACAATAAAAAATCTAGAGGGGATAATGTGGTGATTCAGTTTTTCTAGAAGTATACATTGGCTTTAAGAACTAGCAATAGGCAGTGCTTTCAAAGAAGGGTTTTATACTTGAATACTTACTTTGAAAATATTGTGACTTACTCCAATGAAAGTTGCCCTTTTGAATAATTGTCATTTTACCTGTTCGTGGGCTGCAGCAGCTATTTACAAGGCATGTGCGTTCTGGGTGGGAATACAGGGGAGGACTTTTTAATCCAAGCTGGAATTTTTGAAGTATGGCAGAACAAAACCATTAGCTTTCGTAACTTGGAAATTATTTTGGAGTGTATATATATGTAATATATCCAAGGAAGAGTGGTTGTAGCTTAGCACAAATATCAGGTAAAAGTGAAGTATGAGAAGCACTGATTCTAATAGAGAAAAAAAGACAACAGAGTGAAGTTGGTCATCACTAAAATAAACTCTGGTGAAACTATAAAGTGGTAGTGGGGGAAAAAAAAGAACTTCTGCACCTGAAGCACTGATACTTACCATAGGTGTCGATAAATAAAAATCCTGTGTTTTGAATCCTGCTGCTAAATCTCTTACATCCCACTTGTGAAAGGATAGAGTGTGATCAGGCAAGAGAGTGGCACTACCCCTGGCTGGGGCACCTGTGCTTCAGGACGGTTCGTCAGCCCAGGTGAAACTGGGCTGTTGAGGGTTACTTGAAGTTGTAGCAAGTGGGGGCATGGGAGTGGGACTTATGTATATGTTTGTCTCCCAGGAAGGGCACTTTTAAAGAATGGGAGGCTCTGACATGTTGCCTTGGGTTGAAGTCAGTGAAGACCTGTGAAAAGTCAGGAGAGGCTGGAGTGAGAATTGGTTGGAGAAATCAGTTGTGATAAACCTGCATCACACAGTGAGGAAAGATGCAAGGGACTGAGGTTGATACGAGGTTGCGCTTCTGGGTAGTGTCAGGTCACTGACCCTCAGGGAAGTCAAATCCTGTCACTGGCAGGTCGTCTTCTGCTGAGCTTTGTGGCTTTCTAGTTAGGTGTTGCCGTGATTATGAGTTGCGATGTTATAAAGGGTAGTTAGACGTATCCTCTCAAAATCTCATTTTAAATGATGTCCTGTTGCTTTGGACTAACTCATAGTTAAGCTGGAACAATCTTTATTTTCAGTTGCAGTATCTTTTTTGTCCTCCTCCTCTAGAGCTAATCTTCAAGACTATATAAATTGCTATTCCCAGATCTCTTATTTTGCTCCACTTTGTTTCTGTTTCTGGTAATAGCAAAGACCCCAGTCAAGGTCTCTTAGAGCTATGTTGTACAAGCACAAGGGAGTATATGATCTCTGCCCCAGTTTGGAATAATGAGTCAAAGACTGAAGGTTCCTGCTCACTTCAAATGAAGTTGAAGTATCATCTGCATCTGTTTGCTAGACCTTCCAGAAAATGCAGGAAAAACCAGGCCGGAAATAACTACGAAAAACTAAGTCCAAACAAAGGCAGGCTTGAACTACCAGGATGTGAAAATAAAAGAGATTTTCAAAGTGAAAGGTGACGCCATCCTGGCTCCCCCATTTGCATTTCACTTCTGTTGCGAGTTTGAGTCGTGCTCAGCCAAGCTCAGCAGCTCAGGATGGGCATGGCAGGAATTTGCAACCAGCATCTGTCCAGTGACGGTGTCATTCCCAGCACTGGTGTAGGGGAAAGGACAAACTTGCATGAAAGGGCTGCAAGCCCGTAGTGGTGAGGACTGCGCAGGCCACCTTATGGACATACAAAATGAAAGCTCTTATAGCATCAGATAACACAAATTTACCATAATAATGCTGAAAAGGTTGTTCCAAAACAACAAAATGTTTGAGTTAATTTCTGAGGCTAAATGTTGTAGATGGTAAAGTCAACACAAAGATCTAGGTCTTTAACGAAGAACCAGAACTCAACTCTGTAGCTTTTATTTCCATTAATACTGGAAGCATTTAAAAAAAAAAAAAAGAACAGAACAGAGACTCTTTTACATCATATAGTACCTTTCACTCTCTGAGATCTGGGGGGATTTTACATGTTGTATCTATACAGCAGTATACAGCAGCAGAAACACGCAGCTACTGGAACATAAACCTATGGGTCTCTGAATAGGAAATATTTGATTGGGACAAACTCCTCCCCTCACACAAACATCTCTTTGAATTTTAATGGCAAGCTCAAAGCTGCTGAACTGGGATTCTCCGCATCTCTTATTGTTTTTGTAGCAGAAATTAGCATCCAAGAGTACATTTGAAAAATGTCTGCATAACTGTCTGCTGCTCGTGGGTGGGATTTCAGTTTTTCAAGTCTCAGCAACATACGCATTAAGTTGTTTCATTATTTGGCTCTTTGCCTTTATATGAGGTAAATCATCAGCCTGCTAAATCTGTAGATGGGACTGAGCAATCATCTCTGCTTAAAATCAATTGTGAAGCAGATGCTAATGTGCTCCCCCCTTCTGTGGGTTACTGGTGTACTGCAAGCTCCTCACTGCCTGTAAATTGGTATTGTGGTAGCACTCAGGAGCCTCAGTTGCGGAAAACATCACACAAAATCAGAAGAAAACAATTATCCCTGCCCTAAGGATCCTGCACTGTCCTTTTTTACAACTAATCATCTTGTTTCTTTTTCCTGAACTGAAGGTGTGTTGAGCAGTTGCAGTTACCGGAGTTATTTAATGGAGTTAGATCTGCACAGCACCTTGCCACTGAGCCCAAGGAGACCTTTCTCTCACTCCTTCCAGTAATACTCTCTTTTTGGATAATACCTTTATATGGACATTAGAAGAAACTGAAACCCCAACTTCACTGCTGTGAATAAAAGCAGAGTCTATATTGCTTGGCTAGATGCATCACGGATCATGGCTCTCAGCAGACTGTATCCATGAGAGATACTGGAGGCAGGCAGCTGGCAAGGCAGCGTCTCACTGTGTGAAATGTATGCTAGTATATTTGTAGGTGATTATAATAAAAAAAACTTTTCAAGGTTAATGTCCAGGTTTGCTGCAGCTTAGCACATGAAAAAGAGTCCAAAGGCTTTTTTCTGTTTGATTCACTTCATTATTAGTTTTTCTTTTTTTGTGTTTTTCTCTCCCTTAGAAACATAAGGGCTATCAAGTCTGATGTTTCATAGTTTTGCTGAAGGACATTTTGAGTGTCTCACGAAAACATACCAAGGTGATAGAGACAGTGAGCTCTGAATGTGTAGAACAATCACCTAGAGCTAATTAGTGGTTTGTAGTTTTAACGGATAATCAAATGCTGGGTTCTTATAAGAGACTAAGTGTGTACCATATTGCTCACTCTGAGGCTTTTTACATGCCTTACACAGACATACAGACAAAATAATTGTGGAAATAAGGAGGAGTCCGCTTGCTGCAGACAGAGCAGCAAAGACAGACGTGTAGCTGGGTTTTGTTTTAAATCTGGTGCACGAATTACCTGGAATTCCCTGACTTGCTGTCTGGCTTGACCCTGCTTTGTTCAAAGCAGTCACGCAAATGTGGTAAGTGGTGTATGGTAATAGATTATACAGAGTGTACTGCCTTGCTGTGGAATAAATATTGTCCAGGACAAACTGTCTGTCCTCGTTGCCTTGGGCATGAAGCTTCAGCTCATAGGTGTGAACAACTGAATTTGGGGCGCACCAGCGTATCTGAGCAGAGCTGTCTGTAACTTCAGACACCTCTCTGAGCCTCGGTGGATCTGGAACCTCATTTTCCCTCGACATGCCAGGACATAAACATTGGGATGCACTCTGAAGTTCACTGCACGGCTTCTGAAGGTGTCTGCAAGGGTTGTAGTCACAGGAGATGTACGCCAGTTGCACTGGGGTTTTTGTCGACTGTTCATCGTAATCGTAGTCATCTACATAGTGTATTAGTGATCTGGTGGATGCAGGCTCTGACTGAGCATTGGTCCTTGTGGAGTTCAGCTGTGGTAGGCTCGTTTGTGCTGTACCTTCCCCAGCGTGAGTGGCAAAGGAGTGGATATAATGGTCAGTGGCATCGGGGTTTCCTGTTGCTCTAGTGGAATAATCACTAGTGGGCTGGTTGAATGGGCCTTCCTGGGGAAACGTCGCATCAGTCGTTCTGAGCTCTCTCTTTAGCTGATCTGTTTCAGTTTGACTCGTGGAGCCATAATCCGAGGAGTGACTATAGAGCTCTTTGAGAAAACCCGGGGAGGTGGTTACGGACGCGAAGGAAGGGGGATGGCTCGTGGATTCGGAAACTGCCTCCTCCTCGTGGGAGGAACTGTTGGCCTTTGTCAGCATCAGCTCAGTTGGGACGGCTGCAGTTGTGCTCATTACATTCCTTTGAATTCGGGAGCTGGTATAAGTGTCTTTGGTTAGTGGAGCAGAGTCTGTTGTTGTTACTACGCTAGTTGCATCATAACTGGTAAGGCTGAAAGCATTGTTTTCGGGAGAGGGTGTGTTTGAATCGGGTAGTGTAACGTTTCTCTCAGACTGGTTTCTCTCAGACTGGCATTTATCGTAGAGCTCTAGCAGTGAAAAAGATGTTGAAGGTCTGTCCCAATCTTCCTGGGATGTGTTGCAAAAAGTCTCCCAAGCCCTGCAGAGGGGACAAGTTAGAATAGACAAGCTCCACAAGAACATTACAGGTTCCTGTAAGGCTGCTTGGATTGGAATTGGCAATTCATTGTCCCAAAACAGTCTTTATATCACAGAAGACATGACACCTAAACCAAAGCTAGGTTGTCTTAACGATAGTCCTTGTGCTTGGCAGATGGCAGCACTGGGAACTTAGCCGACTGGCTTTTTAGTTTTGTAAGGTGCAGGAATATCTTTTGCCCGAGAAGAAGCATCCTTTGCTACAAGGACGGTGAACCTTAGCAAGAGTGTCAGGGTTCAAGGCAACTTGTCATAAAGGGTCAGACTTTAATGCCACACTAGGAGGGGAACACACGCAGAGAGATCCTTAAGCTGGTTTAGGCAGCTGTGCTGACACAGGATGTGCTTTTAAATGATGGAGCTCGAGTTCTTTCTTTACTCAGACATTGCACGTTTTTGTAAAGAATGCAACTGCTAAGCCCATCCTGGTGAGAAACAATCTAATTTTAACAATCTACTTCCCTGCTCTCTCCACCACGGAAGACAAATCTTCTTGGTGGCCTTTCAAAAGGAAGACAGATGATACATATGCAAATAACTTCTTTTAACTACAGCTTATTGTAATTAGTCTGTAAAACTGTAGGAGAGCATGGAAACAATAGGTGACAAAAGGGGCTATTTGCAAGGGGTTTTGTTGGCTGCCTGTGCTGATCTAGGCTTTGGGAATGCAAGGGCAAAGAGGAAATAATTTGCTAAATATCTTGCAAAGTCTTCCAGTTCTTGCTCTCAGTGATGGCCCATCAAAGGCCACCAAGCCATCTCATTTTTTATCTCCAGCTAATAGAGAAATATGAACCGAAATAAAGAAAATAAGCTCTTCTGAAGTAGAATCCACAGCTAATAACACTTTCTACTGTTCTGCATGTGGTCATTGCATTTGTCCACTGAAGTAGAATCCACAGCTAATAACACTTTATAATAACACAATTATAATTCAAGTATAATTCAGCCATGCTTTGTCCCTGAAGGGGACTTTATTTTGCATTTCTACCTCTTGTGGAAGGGAAGAGCACGCAAGGAATTTGAATAACTTAGATGACAGTGAATGTTTGGACCCCAAATAACTTACTAATTTAAGTTGTGTCTGAAGAGCATTACTTTATCTCCTTGAACTCACTTACTTTTGCAGCACAACTTCTTTGGGCTTGGAGAGCAGCCAGGAGAGCTGGCAGTCGCATAACAGAGGATTTCCATACAAGTTGATGATGATACTATCTGATGAATCAGTATTCCAAGGATTAAAGGAACTCAGGTTGCAGCTACAAGATGACAAACGCAATAATTAGCAAATGCTGAGCTACCTTCCAAGGACTGGAGTGTGCTTAGTATTCCAGAGTGTGTAAGACAGAAAGCAATATTCCCAGTTCCCTTGGAAGTTGCCAGATATCAACACCACCATTCTGCACTTTAAAGTCCAGGCTAATACCTGCCCATCCCTCTAATTTGCACAGAGTAGCTGCTGTGTGTTAAAGCACAACAAAAGCATGGTAAGGGTTTAACACCTTTAGAGATGGCAGCTGGAAGGGAAAGGACCTAGTATTTGGCAAGAGTCTTCTGTGAAAGATGACCTCCTCTCTGCCATCATGCATTCAGCTACACTTTTATACTCTACCATTTCTCTAGCTTCTTTCTCAGTCTGCTCGTAATGGCTTGACTTTCTCTATGCCAATCATCCTCTTCATGTTAATTGCCTCTTTCGTAATATAGACTCACCTACTAAAGTCAAATGATTAATACAGGAAAACCTTGCTTGCCTTTATGTTAAGCTGTCCTAGCTGCAGAAGGAGTGTGATAATGTGACCTCCCTGCAGTCTGAGTGCTGAGAAGATGCTCTTTTTTGTCTATGACTTAACTGCTACTCCTTTGGTTTTTAAGTTTGGGTCATGATTTTTAGCACTTTGAACTGGTATTTCTGCAGGTACTGCAAAGTGCTGTGTAAATTCAGTGTGGCAATCTAGTGTGGGATGGAATCCGTTGGGCTTTTTCTGCTTAAATGGGTTTATTTTCCTAAAACTGGTTCATGGAGCACAGCCAGTGCTCTAGTGTTTGTTTTCTGATATGCTTATAATCTGGGCTTGTATTATAGAAATCTTTTAAGGTGATTTCCAAATCTTTGCCTTTATGCTGACTGTTCTGTGTGCAGTTTACCTGCTCTTATTGTGATAAATCACTTTCAGACTTTTGTTTCCCTTAGTATTTCTACAGGTGTGTGACATACCAAGTAAATCACACTGAGGTGTTACCTCTAGAATAAGGACTAAACCATTGCTTTTACTAATGCTGAATAAGGAACTATATTAATCTCTCATACTAAAAGTGGGAGGGACAGGATTTCTGACGGCTTCCAAGGTGCAGATTTTAGGAAACTGTCAGCATTCATCCTTTGTAGAGCAAGGAATCCTCAGTGACCCGCTTGTCCTCTGGTGAGACATTGCCATTGTAGATGTTGGAAGCATGGTCTGTATTGCAGGTGGGCTTCAGTGGGTCTATGCTAATCTTAACAGCGCTAGATGAATTCATCCATTGGACTGGGAGATAAGGCAGAAGAGTGGGAGCACGATAGATGTGATCTCAAGCAACCAGTAACTGTGCTATGAGACTCATGCCACCTCTTTGGGCTGTATCAGCTCTTCTGCTGTATCAGGTCTACATCGCAGGCTTTACGTGGCATATCTGAATATAAGACAGCGTGTTTCTCCATGGCACACAAGCCCATACCTCCTTCCTAAATATTTGATAACAAGCAAACTCTGCATAAAAATCAACTCCCAGGCACCGTGGTGCTGTGAGGCAAAGGCAATGTTACGTGAGGAAGAACAAAAACCAGAACAACTCACTTCTCAAACGAGAGATGGCTCAGATGAGGAGCACTGTCAAACATCTCTGTCTTCACAAAACCCAGTGAGTGGGAGTCTTGACAGTTCAGCTCTCGGAGACCCGGCATGGACGTGAGGAAGTCAGTATCGAGGCTTCTTAATCGTGGCATCTTTGTCAGGTGAAGTGATCTGAGGTTGGGCAAGTCTCTGGTCCACTCTGGTTGAACTGAAGCAGAAAAAAGATTTATACGTGTTGCCCAAATAGAGCATTCCTGTGGATTTCTGTCTAGAAAAAAGTTTTGAATTCATAGAGAGAGAAAATATCTCTGTGGTCTTCTGCAGCTCTTCTCTTTGAGAAAGGAATAGAAAAATCAATACACCAGTGTATGAACACCCATGTAATCACATTTTTGTAATATTACCTGCTGTTGTAGGGCAGAGGAAAAGAAGGGAAGATAGAAGGGCAATAAAGCTGATGATAAATGTGGAATAACTTTCCTATTAGGTGAGATTAAATGAACACGGATTTCTCTGCTCAAGAAATGGTGGGTGGGGGGAGATTAGAGAGGTCTACACAAAGTCCTGACTGGTGTGAGAAAGGCAAATAATATCTTATTTCTCCTAGCACAGGAAAAAGAGCCGAAAGGCATGAAATGGAAAGAATAGGTTTTATAAAAAAGTGCCTTTCCATCCCAGGACTGAATTGTGTAACTCACTGCTTCAAGAGAGATGAGGCAAATTCATGGAGGAAATTTGGTAGTGTATCTTAAATGTGAATTGAGGTGAAACCTTTGGCTTGAGGAGTCCCTAACGTCCTGGCTCTGCCCCAGGCCGAGAGCAGCCGGGCAAGGCATCTAACATCTGTCCCTCTCAGCTCCTCAGTTATAAACTGAGGCTGGCAGGGGAGGCAGACAAAAGAAAAAAAATCATGCTGTAAATTGCTCAGGGAAGGGATTGTCTCCCTGTGCGGAAGTATTTGGCCGGTTGTGGTTGACACAAAAAGCCTCTCTCTGTGCTACTTCAATACAGTGGTATAAAGCAGAGTGTAATTGTGAGGCTAGACAAAGAAAGATTTCAGCAGTGTGTCTGGAAAGAGAAATGAATTTCCTCCTGCGTGTCCCAAAGCTAATCTCAGGGCTGACAGTGGAATTAGGGTAGAGGTGGGGGACTGCAGTGGGACAAAGAGTCCTGTTTGGTGGTGTCCGTTCTCTGCCCTTCCTTCGGGAGGCTGGTCTGCGTGAGGGTTTCCCCCCAGCAGTTGCATCACAGCTGGAGAGTGCATTGTACACTTGGACCAGCTGTTTGCAGCTTTCAGCGTGGGGTGTTCCCCCTCCACCCTGGGCTCGGCCGGGATGGGAGCCATCGTCCCATCAGGCTTCTGCTCCCCCCGGCCTGACCAAGCCCCATGTTTACAGTGGGAAATCCAGAAACTTACTTTTCTCAAGAAAGGTCCTGCTCAGATCGAGCATGTTGATGGTGTTTCCAGGCCTGTTTGCGGCTTCACTGGGAGATGTGCTGATGGCAAAAGCAGACTCCCTAATTCCTCTGTTGTCATCCTGCCCGAGCAGCGTTGCAGAGAGGTTCAGGAACTGTAGTTGAGGGTAACAGGAAAAAGCCAGCGGCTGGATTTCAATCAGTGGATTTCCAGCCAGGGACAACCACCTCAAGTTAGGCAGGGCAGAGCTGTGGCATGATGGCACGGATGACAGCTTATTGAAGCTTAAGTCCAGGGAGAGGAGACTGCTGAGGGCTTCAGATCCCCATCTAACTGCCTGGAGATGGTTCTGTCTCAGTGAGAGGATGCGTAGCCGCGGGAGGTTTGCTATCTCCGTGCCGTTCACCTCTTCTAAAAGGTTGTTGCTGAGATCCAAGGTCTCCAGGGCCTCCGGAAGGCAGACAGGGAAAGCTGTCAGGCTGCTGTTGGTCAACTGCAGGGTTTTTCTCACAGGACATGCTGGTGAGATTAACGTTCTCCCAAGAGTCTTCCTGAGCCAGCTGGAAAAAGGTGGTGATGTCCCTGGATGCTGCAAGCTCTGCTCTGCTCACTGGGCCCAATGCTGTGTTCCCCACCAGCAGAGAGAGGATGAGCAAGCATGAAAACATCCTTCTCCTAAGTGGCTTGCAATTAACTTGCAAGATCTGTTTGGTTTTTGTTTCAGGGAGGGGAAAACAAAACATCAGCATTAAGAGCTAAATTAAATCCCTCCAGGCAGCTACAAGCTATTTAAAAGTGAAACATTTGTAAGTCCTTTCCTATTGCATCCAGACAGCGGAAGTGATAATTAACGTCTCTTCTGTAATTAAGCCTAAGTAAACATGAACCCTTGGGGACAGAAGTATCATGCGATCTTAGCCTAAGCATACCTACAGTTTTTCATGCAGAAAGCAACCGACTTGTATCACGCGTCTGGTTCCCACGCCAGTACCCTCAGTACCAGCCTAGCACCCAGAACAGCAGCAGTGCAGGAGGTGGGCTCCCCAGTCTCCCTGCTCGGCTGCCTCTGCGCAGTACAGGGGTATGAGGGAGTGCCAGTGCTGCTCCAGTATAAAAATACCAGTTGGTACCATACTGGACAAGCTGCAGGAGAGGGATATTGCCATGTTATGGGACTTGACTTTTGCACCTGATTGCGTATTGCTCTTTATAGGGCTGTCCTGCTGCATAGTGTCCAGTTTGGCCAGTCCACTGGGAAAAGTTATGTAATGGGATGATACCCAAGCAACAGGACTAGGGTCAGGTGTGACCGTGGCATGGGATTTTTTTCTGTGAGGTTGTTTGTACAAAGCAAATGTATGGATCCAAAGGCAGTGGAGGATTGTCAAACGTTAAAGGACATAGGAGCCCAAACTGGGCTGAGCTGCAAAGGGGTGGCAGGTAAAAGTGCCTTTCCTATGTTAGGAAGGGCTTACCTTCCTTTAGCAGAAGTTGAAACAGCAAAAGCCCAGGGCTCGCATGGGCTCTGCCAGGGCAGTTCTGCCCCGTTCTGAGTGACAGCCACGGTGGGGACCCCAAAGGCCTCAGGTGTGGTACGCACTCCAGCTGCTGGGGAAAGGATGTGCTGAAAATGCAGCTCCTGAACCACATTTCAGGCAAAGTGGTCAGAAACGGAGAGTGTGCTCCTGGATCAGGGCCCCAAAGGCCTGGGTACCAAGAAGCGTGTTATTCAGTGTTACAGTTGTCTCTGTGCTCCCTCCTCGTCCCACCCCAGCTTTGCCTTTGTCATTTAAAAAAAAAAAAAAAAAAGGAAGGAAAAAAATTCCAAAATGACTTGTCCAGGGCTGCGCAGGTAATCTGTGTCAGAAGAGGGAATTAACCACAGCTCAAAACTAGCGCTTTTCTTAGCTGTCTTTTGTGCTGCCAGGCATCATAATGATCATTCCTCATCCAAAAATATATTACAGTGTAGGGGGGTGACTGAAGCCCCATGTAGTATGAAATATCTCAGACTTATTCCAAACCTTAATAGCTACTTGCTGTTCCCTGAATGGTGCCAGGTCTTGCCCAGACCGTCATCTGTTGCTGCCATCCCAGGTTTGAAGTAGGGACCAGCAAAATAGTATAATTTGGTTGCCTGTGTCCATTTTGTCATCTGGAACCGGGCAAGAGCTGAGCAGCCTCAGGGCTTCCTGGTCACTGGAGTCGCTGGATTCCCAGCACATGGCAGGGAGAGGATGGGAGAAATTAGACTGCTGGATTCCGATCTTAGATTTAATCTTAGTCCCTGGCTCTAAACCGCATCCGCTTGCACGTACCTGTCCAGAAGTCCTGATGCCTCGTGCCTCCGCTCTGCGTGGCTCCGATTGCCTGGCCTTGATTTTATACACTTCGGTGACTCAGCCGAGAGCGTGAAATGCCTCTTTTCTGTTCCCAGCTTTCCCTGCTTGTGGCTCTGCCCACAAGCGCAAGCGAGGTTTGTTCCAGGCTCTCTCCCCCGCATCCAGCTTTCCCCTGCCTGGAGAGGGGGTGGCTCCAGGCAGCTTTCCCGCTCCCTTGGCCCTAGCAGGAGGTGGGTGGGAGGGCTCTTATTTCCCAACACTCAGGCAGGGCTGCTCTGTCTGTCTTTGTATAAGCAGAGGGGGATAAAGGGAAAAGATCGGTGTCTGTAGTCCCAACTCTCACGTCTTCCCCTGAGAGGGGGGAAGGGAGAGGAGTTATTGTGTTTCTTCGCTGACCGGTCATGATGATGTAAAGCTAAGGCTCTGTCTGCTGACATGGGCTTTGGTTGCTCTCTAGGTGCCAATAAAAGGCTTCAAGTGTTTTTATTTCTCTCTAAGAGTCCTGCACTTGGGAGTAAGTCCTGGAAATGTTCACGCAGGACGAATGACTTTTCTAATGAGGCCCTTGGGAAATGCCAAAAGCAAAGCTCTCACCTGCCGCTCCTGCAGAGAGGAATTCTCTCAGCTGATGAAGGGGCCTGCGGCATCTCACATCGCGCATGATGAACTTGGGAGGCCTTTCCCGGTCCTGCTCTGCGTGGGTTGTGTTCTCTGTTCTGCATCTGCCATACTGCGTGGCTTGGGAGAACTCCCATTCAGCTGCTCCTCTCATCCTTTGCTGGATAAGTAAGACTGACAATGTAAAACATCTCCCACCAAGGGACCTGCCCTTAGCTGGGTTTCTCAGCATTCCCACAATTCAAATAATGATTAGGCTGGTCAAGAGCTGAAAGTAAAGCCAGGAACTAGAAAGGGATAAATTGATAGAGATTGTTCCAAAGTAAAAGCAAAAGGGTGGTTGTTCAGTTGCTACTATGAGACAATTAATGATTAAAATTTCCAGGGAGAACAGTAGTCAGTACTTTTCATTTGTCAGGACAACAAAACAGATCCATGACGTGAAGGCAACACAGACCTGTATGCTTTGGTGCTAAAGTGCAGTTAAAGGTCTTGCTTTCCCAAAAACCCTGAGTCTGCATGTACGCAGACTCATTATCTGGGTGGGGAGAGAGCCTTGAAAAATACCAGAACATCCACAGAACAAGATACCGTCTTTTAGTAGGACTCTCTGGAGCCATTGCGGTTCCCCTGGAGGCTGGGTGAGATGTACATATTGTTCCCGTGTGGAATGGCTCTAAGGCAAGATAAATAGTTTCCTAAATGAGGGGCTAATCCCACAGATTAAGCCTGGTGGAGCTGCTCTTAGGGCAGCGTGCAGGCCCGGCACGTGCGCGCTAACAGGTACCTTCAGAGATCTGCACTCTCTTAGGTTCAAAGGGCAAATTGGAGCAGGTTAAAAAAATCTGAAGAATTTGGTGTAATAGGAGGAAAGTCCAGCCCCTGCCAGGCGGGTGGAAACCCTGCCTTCCCTTTGGCTTTGCAGACCAGCTGGCTGCAAAGCTCCTCTTCGAGAGAAGCTGGGGAGCGGGGAGGTGGCCTCGCTTTGCCTAGGGCAAGTACCCACGTTGTGTTTGCTGCCGTTAGCTCAGCATTTACAGACAGCGAATTTTCCTTGGTTATTGTGTTGTTTTTAATCTCTTAAAAAACTACTCCATGAAACCTGGAGAGCCAAATGCTGCCTTACTTTTAGTGTGTTCAACCTTACTGACTTCGTTTTGGAGACTGAGACAAGCAGCCTTGTAAAGACTGGAAAAGCAGCCCAGCCATTAGTTAGCAAGTGGGCCACTCGTTTCAGTGAAGGTGGAAGGGAGATGATAGAGTCTTTGCCCAGAGGCGCTTGATTTCTGAGTGATAGGGAGAATCTCTTGCAAGAAGCAGAGCACCCTTGGAAAATGAGCTTTTGTTATTTTTATTTTCCATCTTTGGTTCTGCTTTTTGGATGGCAGGTTTTGAGGCAGGCATTGTATTTTCCCAGCTCTTTGCCTAGCTGCAAACTCCAACCATCTGAAATGTTACTACTATGGTACTGCGTCTCAAACAGCTGCCCAGGTGTTGGTGAAGGTTTCCCAGGGCAGACAGCAGCCCTCTCTCACCAGTTTCTTTGAAATCATCTGGTAGCAGCAGGCAGAGATTTCCCCTTTGTGAGTCACTTTGGCCTGTTCTCATGTCACTGTGTTTCTTCAGGTTATTCTTCTCCTTTTTTTCTACTTTAATAAGAGTTTCAGTGGCAACCTAGGGGAACGTTTAGTAAAGGCAGGCATTTTTGTCAGCCTTTTCACATGGATGATGCACAAAGAGCTGAACCAGAGGCCCCCTCCCCGGGGCTGATTCAGTGCTGCACAAAACCCCTCTGCCTGCAGTAATGCTAGGGATGAGCCCTGCATTCTTTCGTGACACAGAGATAAGCAGAACCATGGGGAGAGCAGGAGAAGGCGAGGATGGTACCAGGCTGTAAAGTTTAAGAGATGAATGTTTCTCCCTGGCCATGATCCAAGTGATGGTTAAGAATGAAACTACCCTGAAAAAATCTGGAGAATGGCATTTAAGGACAACAAAAGAAAAGAAGAATTTTGCAGGTCAGTTCACAGAGCAAGCACAAGCAAGGTATTTTCCTACAAAGAACAGGGACAGAATGGAAGAACAGAATTATTTAGCCTGAGGTTTCAGAAAACTCTGGCGCGTGTGTGTTGTCCACTGCAGTAACGCAGGCTGAAGGCAGTGGTGAATTCCCCTACGGAATTTGTTGTGAGTAAAAACAGGCAGCAGCCATCTGATATCGGTAGTGTTTTACCCTGACCTGACTTCGGTTTAATTAAGCATGATGTACAGAATAGGGTTGCAGTTGAGCCAAGGTATTAGTTTCCTAAAGGTTTTTGTTTTCATCTCAACAACATTCCTGTCCAGGATTTTGTCTCTGCATTGCGAAATTTCAGGGCAAACGCCCTTGTCCTGCTTTCACTCTCTCTGTAAAATGCCTCACATATCTGGCACCGTGCAATTAATAACTCGGTTACTACAGACCACTGAGGCTATGGTCTTTAACCCTATGTGTAAATCAGGTGATACGAACAAGAGAAAGCCAAGTCTAATCAGGTTATTGCGTGAGTAAGGGAGGGTGTGGTACCCCTGCGCATTAAGGGGAATGTCTGGAGTCTGGCTGGGACACGCTCCGTGGCGTGGAGAGGGATGAAAGATGACTCGATGCTGTGGCTGGCCCCGAGCTGGGCTGGTGCAGGTGCCAGGCGGAGCAGGCTGGTGCAGGCCTCCTCTCAGGAGCTGCCGACCATATCCAGCCTGGAATTACGGAGGTGCAGGAGTGCCCTGGGTCGTGCCTTCCCACTCCAACCTCTGGAGGGGCTGGTTGTAGGAAGCAGAGCTACAGTCACATTCAGCACTGAAAGCATCTGGATAAAAACAGATTCCCTTCCTAAGTGTTCCTTACCTGTCCTGGAAAAGCCTTGCGAGGTGAGTGGAGCAAGGAGAAAGATAGCTGATGATCTAAAGAAACATGGAGACAGGACAGCAGCAAGGGATCATTCCCTTAAAGCTGAAATGACAAGGGTGGGGCTTACAGCCAGCCGGGATGAGCTGGCAGAGCTCCTCCTTGCAGAGCAGCACGAAGTCTTTACTCGAAAGGCAGTGACACATGGAGTGAGGGAGGGGCAGGAAAGAAAATGGAAATGTTTGATAGTTTCTCTGAAATCCCAGTCCAGACAACTTGGACTGCACGTAGGTGTGTTTGCTTAGCAGTAAAATGAGCCGCACACTCTGCTAACGAGAACTACATTCAGAGTTCCCATATCTCTACATTCATGTGTTCAGATCATTTAGACGACAGGTGGCAACTACAGGGCTTCCCTGCTACAGTCGTGTGACAAGCTCTGCTCCGAGAGTGGCAAGCACGGGGCTGTGCTCCTCGATGAACAATTTATGGGAGTCTGTCATTGCCAAATGAGGGGCTTTAATACAGGGACAGTCACAATCCTGACTGCAACAGCCAAAGTGGAGGCTGAGTCTGGAAGAGGGCTGCCTGTGGAAGAAGTGCTGGCACTAAGATGTGCATTCATCTCTCCCACAGCACCCTTGGGCAGGTTTTAAATATTGCCAGTGTTCGGACTTGGACTATCCATTATAGGTGGTTCTCACACTACGAGGAAAATACTTGACCTGTGTCAAGCAAGTGAGAAGAGGGTAGGTCCTCTACTGAAGGAAAACGGGATAGTCCCTCAGCCCATGTAAAAAGTGCTGAGGAGAGAGAAGTACAGAGGGCTGGGAAGCAGGCTGTATCAGCTCGCTCTTTTGCAAAATGAAAAGCTATAGTTTGTTTAAACTGGCACAAGTTGGGAGCGATCCCACTGCAGCCTACTGACAGGCGCTGGAGAAAAGCAGAGGACATGACAGAAAAATCAGGGCTATCCAGTCCCAGTGACGGTTAGGAATTATGCAGTGATTTCTGCAACATCTCTTGGTGATATGACAACACCTGTCCACTGTATTTCTTTAGATACATGAAACCAGTTTTGGTTTGTCCAGCAGCTTCAGGAATCCTCCTAGCTTCATTTTCTCCTTGCTTTACTGATCACTGTGCATTGCAGGGCAGAACCAAATTTCTTTCAAGGCAGTGGATGAGTGCGTCTGAGGCAGAGCTGGCTGCAACAGATCTGGTTCCTCAGGCACAGTATCACTGAGTAATCTCTTTGTATTCTGCATTACATACATGAGTAAGATCATTTCTACAGGCATTTCAGCTCCTTACTCAACTTATGAACAAGTTTAGTTTAGGGTTAGATGTCACAGTGGAACAGAGTAAGAGGGACAGAAAATAGAAAGGCCTACACTCAGAGGCCTTTTTAACAAGCAAATATAATTTAAAATCGTACCTAAAGCATTTTTTTCAACCTGGAAATTAACAAAGTTCCTCAAAAGATCAACGTTTTGAATCCAGTTTTGCCAAGATTAATGCTTTGTTTTAGGTGTCTGGTAGCTTCTCTGACTTCAAGGGAACTACTTAAGTGGATGAAGGTAGACAGAGGTGCTACATTTTTGAACAATTGTGTAATCACCACTTGGGTTGTGATAGCTCAGTCTGCAGGACTTTGGAACATTGATGGAAGGTTTTCTGTTCCCAGTGCAAGTGTTAGACAAGTAATGCAGCTTTAAAATACGTATTTTTTCAGCTTTAGTTCTGCTAAATGCTGGCCTTTTTAACAATGGCCAGTTTAACAGCGAGAGTTGCATGGCTGTAACAGAGAAGAAAATTTGCTGTACAGTATCCTCAAGTTACTTGTTCTGGATGCTTAAACAGATCATTGTAATTGAAAATATTAGATTCAAAAATGCCCAGTGGCTAGACACTGTTTATTTAAAAATTTCTAGCTGTACAAAAGGAAAACAAAGATGATTTAATTTTCCTAGTGTTGATGATGGAGTTGCCATACTGCATCCAGTGACTTTGGCTTCAATATTTAATAAAAACTGTAAATAGTCCAGTCATATTACAAGATGGATTGACATGTACATTATTTATTAGCCAGCAATTAACAACCAGAGAGATTTTTGTTTCATCTCTGGTCGTCTTAGCTGTGGGGAGAAGCAGGCAGAGGGAAGAGAGTTTACTTCACCTCATTCCTGACCTCCAGTTAATTTATGGAACAGATCTTCGTCCAGTGTTTCATTCTGGTCTTTGGAGCGGGTTGACAAGAAGATGTAGCCCCCGATATACTCATGGATGATTTTGCAGTCTGCGCTCAGACACGTGAAAGCGATAGATACATTCTGATCAAACTCGATTGCAACCTAAAGAAAATACATACGGCAAAATCAGGCACAGAGATAAGCTGCATCTGGGAAAAAAAAGCAAGGGTGAGAGCAGAGCTGGACCACAAATACTGTGATAAAGCAGTACCTGTCTCTGCTAACCAAGAGCTGTAAACATTTCTGGATCTGCAGGATGTCAGAGTGTCTGGATGCTTGTTTCTTAATTTTCTGCTATGGTGGGGCCCTCTTGTGGTCAAAATCTTGTTGCTTGTTTAGGCAGGCAACAAAAACATGTTTTTAACTAACTAGTTTTTCTAATGGTGTATAAAGTGAATTTGAATGGTACTCCTGACTCTTTGTACACTTAACCAATAATGTTTAATACTGTCCATTGTTATGTGCTGACCTTAAATCTGCCTTTGGGGTCCAGATTTTGATTTCCAACTACTGTCAGTTCTAAAATCCAGCAAACTGAGGTTAGTCGCTAACTGTGGATTCTGCCTTTTTTGAGAGATATCTGAAGCAAACCCAACGGTTTTACCCAGCGTTACAGGCTCTGGCACAGGGAGTACTGCAGGAGAGTACTAGGGATTGTATCTGATCTCTCCTGGCTCTTACAGATGGATGCGGAAAACCGTATAAGCAGGAAGAGTTTCCAGGCTGCTTGAATTTACATCAGGTCACACTAATTCTACCCCAGAAATCTACAATTTACAAAGCTGGCTTCAAGCTTTCAAACCCAAACTCGCCAGTGGACTGCTGGGCAACAGCTGGCCCCCCTGAGCAGCCTTCCTCAGGGTCAGGAGCACCCCGGTATAAATCACACGACAGAGCTTCTTTCTCAGGACCGCATACTGCCACAGAGGAGCTTGCACCCTGGCCTTGCAATCTCAGTTTGGGATTTGAAAGACAAGCTGGGTTCCTGTATCCTCAGCCTGTAACAGAGACTGAATCACCACAGTTTAGAGGATGATGCATGAGCTAGACTATACAGAGAGTGAAAATGAGATTTTTACTGACAGAGCAGTAAACATAATGGGTTGGAATTTACCTTTGAGTCTCCGTATTTCACCCCATCAAAATCAAGGGCAACTTATAAAGAATAAGCTTGGTAAGAACCTTTTAAACTGGAGATCTTTTACTTTCTGAATTTTGACTACAGACTCCATTAAGAAAAATTTTAGACAGATTATTTCATAACGTGTCACAACACATTCAAAATCTTTTCACTCTGAGGTTTAAAAAGATTTTCTGAAAGCATCCTCCAGTGTCTGAAGTGTAATGACTGAATGCAGAGAGCTGTTCCAGTTTTACCTGGCGTATTTCCCAGTTCACATTCCACTGCTTCATGTTGGAAAACCTCCATGTTGTGATAGGATCTCCTGTGGCTATATCTATTCGTATCAGCCTGTTATAGGACACCCCAAGCACATCATCCTTTTTGCTTCCTTTAAACCTGAAAAAAAAACCCCAACAAAGCCTCTGAGAAGATCTGGTTTGCTGTGATTTCTGTCTAGAGAAACATTTCACCTGCCCTCTTCTGAAAATGCAAAAAAATGTGGGAAAAGTGACAACAGCTGGGATTGAGGAGAGCTTGGACCCTTCTTTAGAACAGTATTTGTAAAAAGCAAAAATGTAGGCTAGTGAACCATGGTATAAGATGGAAAATAATCAGGCAGATAGATCTAGCTGAAATCTTTCCAATTCATTGCTTCTGCTAAAAAATACTGTTCTGCCAAAATGTATGAATTTGGTTGTACTTTTTCTGGAAAAGTGTCAACAATAATTTTCCTTGCTTCATTTCACTAATGTTGAAACATGTTCTTCTAGTTATATTCACCTAAATTATATAAGCATATAATAGGAATAGCTAGGAAAAGGTTACTCTGGTAAAGAAACTACCTTCCTTTACTTTCATGCTGAAAGCTGGAAGAAATCTCATCTGTCTGCTGTTAATATTTTCAATATTTTTGATCCTGTTTCTGAACCTTCTTGCTTCATTTCACTAATGTTGAAACATGTTCTTCTAGTTATATTCACCTAAATTATATAAGCATATAATAGGAATAGCTAGGAAAAGGTTACTCTGGTAAAGAAACTACCTTCCTTTACTTTCATGCTGAAAGCTGGAAGAAATCTCATCTGTCTGCTGTTAATATTTTCAATATTTTTGATCCTGTTTCTGAACCTTCTGAGATTTTTTTTTTGAAAGAATGTGACCTGGACCACAATTTGTGCCTTACTTAACGCCCCCACTGAGATACTGCCTATCAGTTTGTAGAAATTCACCACAAGGTGTTTTGCTCATGCTACAAAATGCAGTTTAGGTGTTGGGTTTGTTTGTTTGTTTAACACAATGAGTGCTGACAGATGGGGCAAAACATCTATATCTATGTTAGTAAATTCCATAGTGACAGGGAACATTCCCAGGCACTGAACTTGTGTTCTGTTCAGTTGCTAGAAGAGTCCCAGGCAGAATTCTGGCTGCAAGCAAGCAGCGCTCTCTCAAATGACTCCCAGGTATGGCTGGAACAACGGTAAAGCTGGAACATCCAGGGACCAGCGTGATCTAGTAGTTCACATGAGGCTACCGGGTTTTGGGAAGTCAGAAGGTTTAATAGTACAGATGTGGGCTGTTCTATGCCAGCTGGCCTCTGTGCCAGAGAATGGTTCCCAGCTGGTTCAATTTATACCGCAGATGATTCCTAAGTGGCCCTGGAAGAGGTGTTAAGCACAAATTAGGGAAGGTGCCTCCAAGTATGGTTGTGTCAGTACTTTTCAGTTTTTTGGTGCTTTGTCAAGAGAAAAGAATGCAGGTCAGAACCCTGGCATATTTAAGGTAAGTGTCCAGGGAAACTGCTGTGAACACAACAGGACCTTGCTTGTGCTGACTGCTCTTCCAGATTAATGTAAAGAAGGGATCTTTTGCCGTTTTCTTAATGAAATGCCAAAGAAATTAACATTTTATCATATTCCAATGAGCAAGAGGTGGAGCGAACAAATATATTGCAAACCTGAGAACACCAACAAGACATGCATTTTTAGTGAGTTTATGTCAGTAAGGGTTTAATCCTAGTGATATGTTACTTCAGGCAAAAGCTGGCAGGTCTGTATGAAGGCAGACATAATGGAGAGTCTCACTCCAGGAATGGAGCTACTGAGTGCTACTGCTATAGAAAAAACCAGCAGCATGGAAGTTACTAGAATTAAAAAAGGTCTGTGGGGGGAAAAAATAGAGAATGTTTCCAGAACAGGGAGTCAAGAACTTCCTGCAAATCACTGACCGTGAACACATTATGGCAGCTTGACATGGCTATAACAGTGTGATTACCTTACAATGTAGTAGGATAAGCCAAACTCGGGGAGGGACTGCCATGCTTGAATAAAACGCAGCTTGGCCTCCACTAGGGACATCTGGGATACATTTTGGTGGGCTTCCAGAATACGAGCAGCCAACTGGGAAACACAGGAAGAGAGAAAGGTTTCAGTTGACTGGAGAACAAAAATACCCTTGCTTTCACTAAATCAAACATCATTAGCTCTGATGCCGTGTTCAGACACTTAGTCTGATGCCGTGTTCAGACACTTAGTCGTCACCATTCATGCAGATGTACTGCAGAGAGCAGCTGGGGACAGATCCTGAGCTACAAGGGCAGAACAGTGCAGAAAGGCCTCAGTGTCTGGATTTGTGCTGCACGGGTCAGCTCCAGCACGCTGCTCTGGAGACTGTGTCCTCAGAATGGAGGACAGCAAAAGCACTGGACAAGGAATTAGGTGGAGAGGAAGGAGAGGCACCCAGGCGAGGACACGAAGACACTGCTATTTAAGATGTAGACAGTAACTTCCTGTCCTTAAAAACCTTCCTTTCTTACTCTGAAGAGACTTTCAGGGACAGCGTTATCAGGAGGAGAACATGACGAGTGACTTAGGAGGCTGTGTGAATGCAGGAGGAGTACTTGGAAGAAGTGCCAAGAGACCTGTCCGTGTGTTCATTTTAAAGAAAAGGCCTCTTGCTAAATATCAAAGGGACAAATGAGTATTGCAAGATGATTCTACTGTATGGTTTCCAAATGCTGCTTTGATCCAGCTTCACCCCTAAGCAATCATTGGAACCCCCCCATCCCCAACCATCAAGCCATGCTCAGGATACCTGCTTGGACTTGTATTTTTTAGTATAACGTAGTGAGACGAAGCATTCTGGTTTCATATCTATGCTTTCTGGATCAGAGACAGCCTGGGGAGACATGGTCCAGTTCTTCATCTTTAGAAATGAAAGGATCTTGTGGACCTCAGGATGATAAGAGCTATCAGCCATTGTTTTGCCTTTTGAGGCTAAAACGCAAGCTGCCATCCACCGAGCATATTGATTCTCCTGCAACAAAGACAATTGTTTGATATTTTTGGACAAACCATTTATGAAGATGGCTACTGCTCACGCATCTTTACTGTGTAATAAAACCACTCTGGAGTTATTCAGCTTAATTTGCGTGGATGTGTAGTTACCATAGTACTGTTTTTCTTCCCTGATTGGGCTAGTTCCATCTACAGGACTGCCTTTGCAGGATAGTTAAGTTTTAAATTTTCAAAGAAATCCAGTAGTTTGGAATAGATTCTCTTGGAAATTTTATTGCATGACTATTTTCCACCTAATGGACATTTTTACACAATTTGGATTGATACATTGCAATACAAATGAAATAAACTGAAATTGAAAACAAATGTAAGATCCTTATCACACTACCCTCATCTGAATGAAGAGAGTTCTAATAAAGAAAAAAGAAGAGAGCAAAACCCAAGCCTCAGTACTCTGAAAACACAGAAGCAAAATATTGTAATTTCTTTTTACTTTTTTGATAGAATGTTCTTTTCTTCTTTCCAGCAGCTTTACTTGGAAACTGATGATAAACATAGAATTACCGTCCTTTTGTCCCCTCAACCATAAAGTATTTGTTAGACCACCAGATCATTCTTAAGTTTTACTAAACCTGTAGATAATAAACTCTCTGCAGGATCCTTATTTTTTCTACACAAATTCTAGAACAGGACAATGGGTCTTCTAGACAATCTGCCAATAAATCTGGAATACAAACTTTCCCTTGTCTTATTACTCACGTTTTCGCATCTTAAATATACTTCATTCATGCCATCAGCAACAGGAATTAGTAATTTGATTCCAAACTTCTTCGCTGCAACATTTACATCTGGTACAACTTCACATCCTAGATCACAGAGAGTCAGAAAGAAATGAATTTATTTAATTACTACATCACTAACTTTAAGTACTGATTAATACTGAAGAACAATACTTAATGGTTGTTTTTCTTGGAGATTAAGGACCAAGATTTTCAAAGATTAGGCCTGTTCTAGCTTTCTGTTCTAGTTCACTGCCTAGTCTATCTTGCCAGGGTGATGAATGCTCTGAGCTCAAAGAGCATGGTAGTCAATGTGGAAGAGAAAAGATGCAAGTGCTCTCAAAACTTCAGCCTGATCTTAGGAAATGCTCAACACTTAAAAAAGAGGGGAGCTGATGAGATGGGCACTTTTGGAAAATTTAGCCTAATTGTCTTGAAAGCCTGGACTATATTTATTTTCAGAAGCAACTTAGTACTGACAATGGGATGTAAGTGACATCTACAACAGGGCTGTCCAGTTTGGGGATCCCAGAGAACTCTGGGGACCTGGTATTTCATGTTGATGGTGCTATTACAGGCCTTCTGGATTCAGCTGGAGTCGAGGATGCCTACAGTTCCCCTTTGTGTCAAGGGACACCAAGGCTGTGGGCTACTTCGTGAGGTTCCAGTCACCCTGGCTAGTTTTACCATACATTTATCTGACCTACTGAGGATATGCAGATTGGTGTGCAGAGCCATTTGTTCATAAGGGTCAATCTTCTTTCTATTTCAAAGGTTTCTTCTAGGATGAATCCTGGGCATCACTGGTTCCCTGATGCTGAACAAATGATGTCCCTGCAGGAGTAGATGGAGGCTATATATGGTGCTGGTGTTTGCTGTGTGTACACCTGGAGTTCTCCTCCAGAAGTACCTAAAGCTGGTTGTAGCTATGGAAATCCCCATGCATGAAACAAACAAAGCCCAGAGAAGGTCTTGGAGCTGTCCCTGCACAGCAGTATATAGGTGCAACCTGTGGCATTCTTGTCCACTACATCATCGATAATCCTCTGCTACAAGTGTGCATTTGCCAAGGACAGAGGTGAGTGCTACCATTTAACACAGAGTAAAAATATTTGGAAATAAAAGTGTCACACAGATCACATTCTCTAGCTGACTCATCTTTCGGTGAATTCAGCAGTACGTGACATTTTACAAGCCAGGTCTAGATAATCTCGGTTTGCGCTAAGCTATTGAATCCTTTTTGTTTAGGCCTCTTCTGCAGATGCGGTCTGCCTGCTTAGGAGTGTCAGTAACTGAAAAAGTTCCAAGACTAAATGCTACTGTGCTTGCCTTCCTGAGTCTCACAGGGATTCCTTGATGTATTCAGTTCACGAACGCAACAGAAAAAGGAAAGAAAGGAAAAGAAAATTCCTACCTTTTAGGTTTAGTTTCTCAATAGGTTCTCCCTGTGCAGATTCCTTGTTTTTAAAATAAGATACTGAAGTGTCTTTAAAGACAAACCAATATGGCTTGATAGCTTTGAGTGACAGCTTCCTGGGTCTAAAAGAAAAGAAAGAAATCACATTTGTTTATATTGAAATGTATGAATTGCTAAGTCACTCACAAATATTACTGTGGATCTCACATTGCTTTGAGGTCATACACACGGCTTCAGCAGGGCTACACATACTTGTGTCAATGAGGGGGGTGGCAAATGCCTGGAACCAACACCGCACCCAAGTTATCCCGGGTATGGATGTGGTTTTTACCCCAGATTCTAGATGAATCCCATCTATGATTTCTCTTGGGTTTTTTTCTTTCTCTTCTATGTGGTTTTTCTTATTTTCTTTTTTCTTCCATTCCTAATCAAAGCCATTCCCTTCTAACAAAGACTAATTCTGTTTTGTACATGAACTCAGTAACGCTAATGTAACCCACTAGTTTGTTCACATGCACTAGAATTCGCTTCAGTTTTTCATAGCTCCTTATCTGGAAGATTTGCACCCATAAAACTAACTTGTATTCATTAAATTGTAAGGGAGTAGAGACCATCTTTTTGGCTTTATCTGTATAGTATCTAACACAACAAAATTCTATTCCTTCACTAAGTTTACAGAGGTTCTGTAGCACTCCAAGAAAACGTAATAGTTTAAACCATCTTCCACTAGGGCAGTGTTATTCCAGCTCCTCACACATGTATATAGATGGATATAATCTTCATTTTAATTATTTTACTTCATTTCAATACTTTGCTAATGCAAACTGATTTCTTTCATAGAGTAAATTTAAAAATATCTACTTTGGAATTGAGAATTAACTGATAGATACTAATGGTCAAACATAATCATTGTGCCCGCCCCACTTCTCTTCAGTAAGAGATAAAAATCGTAATTAATTCTACTAAGAATACACTAACAAAGCCATGGGGTGGGGATTGGGGAATAAAATCCCAGGTTCAGAATATTTCAGGAGAGAAAACCAGAGATATTAGTACTATTTTAGTAGAGAAATACTTCACAACTAGCTACAAAGGTCAACAATGAAGTTAAAAAGAAGAAAAAAGAAAAAAAAAAATTCCACTGTCTATTTAGTACTTCCCTTTAAATCTAAGATAATGGTACAAAGCGTATACAGCTAGCTGGAAAACAGTGATTTGTTATATCCACTCTTGCCTTCTCCAGAGCCCTTCTAGAAATCCTAGTTTAGAATCTTTTCTAGAAAATGGCGATTTTTATGCTTAAATTAAAAAAATAATGTGGATTTTCAAAACTGCCAAATATTTTGGCTTTTCCAATAAAGTGACATTCTTCAAAAATAAGAGACTATAATTTTTTTAGACAAACAAAATTATTTTTCTATCTAAAAAAAGTTGCTGAAAACTTTTTTGAAAGCTTTTTGTTGGTGGTGGTTTTGAAAAAAATATTGTAATTCTCCACCATATTGTCACCCACCTGAAAGTAGTATTTACTAGTGTGCTAGTGTGGTGCATACTGTGAATAAATTTGAATAACAGTTCACTATATGAATAGACCCAGCAGTATGACATGCAGAGCTTTGCATTTACGTTTACTGTTAAGCAAATAATTATAGTAACAAAATGCTGTTGTTCCTTTAAAGAAATGTTTTACACCTTACCTAGTTTCTACAATGTCTTAGTAAGCGATTTATCATGTATATAGGAAACTTTTCATGATGAAAAATAACCGCTGAATGCTTTTAAAAGCAAACGGCTCTACTGCTGGGGAAAAATAAACAACGCATTGTTAGAGGCGAGTAACTGACAGAACTTAAAAGGCTTAAATTCCCTTTCATCTTAAACCACTTTAGTAATCTGAATGTCAAATAAAATTTCTTGATTGGGAATTAATAATTAACAATTCTTAACAGTTAACAACAGTTAGCGGTTTTCAAGTGCAATTTTCAGTTCGCTGACTACAAATATGATTTGTCAACAGAATGAATGATAAATATTTGTGCAACAGAAATCTTTATCTTTCTAAAACATGAAGACTGTTTTGTGATAAAAGACATCACAGACTTGAGGTCACTGCAGTCATTTAAATAACCCATAAATCAAGATATTATAGTGGGATCACAGAATTGTACTTTCCTCAGTTTACTTATTTAGGTGAGGTATTACTGATCTGGTTTACCATACTGCTACTCCAACTTGAAACTCATTTTGATATTAGAAACAGACTCCATGCTTGGTTAGAAAGGGGTAATTTTCTTCTTTCTTTTGTTTAAAAAAAACCAAAACCCCCAGGGTTGCTGTCAGAAATTTTTCTCAGGGACAGCTGAAAGTTTTTTCTAGTTTTTCATTGGCAAAAACCAGCAAAATGTGATTGAAAACAAAATTGTAGACTCTCTTGTTTAGAGATGACGATTGATGAGCACCAGGAAATATAAAGAGCCTGTTTTTTTAATAAGTGTAAGTATAGCTACCCCAGCACCCCAAAAGCTAGAAAGATTGGCTGAGAATCTTGCTCAGAAGCAGTAAGAGAAAGATTTGAAGAGGATGATATTAGGCTAGTTAGACCTATCTGGTGTATTTGTTGATTTATAACCTTAGGATCTACCGTTAGATGAGAATGAAGAACTCAAGAGATCTCTTGTATGGTTAAGCTTTTTGTTTTGTATGTTTTATTATTAGTTTTAATAACTCACCTAACTAGCCTGAGATTATCAGCAAGTTTCGGGATGTCTGTGATGTCCTCCTATCAGGAATAATTAGGAATAATTTTAGTACAATGCACTTTGTAATTGTCTATTAACTCTGTTAAAAAAATCAGGAACTGTGTGGGCTCATCAGAGTCAATGCATTTGGCATAGTGAAAGCAATTCTGGGATCGGAAAGGACATACCAAAATGTTACTTGCGTTTCCACCTTCCAGTGTCACTTCCAGATTAGAAAGTGCAGCTTCCACTTCATCTACTTCTGATTCACAGGTGAAGTCTTGTGCCTCTGATGATAATGATAACTTGCTTACATGATACTAAAATAAAACATCAAATATCAAATAGGCAATATATCAATTAGCAACACACAATCACAGCATATGAAAATAGGCCATTTGGTCTTCTAGCTCTTAGACAACTACGTACAGTTCTGCCGCACGCAACTATGAGGTGTTTCACAAGGAAACAGGTATGTCCACTGTGATCTCCAGTGCAATTATTGATAACAGTTTCCTATTTAATTGCCAGTGTTTGTATTCCTTCACTGTATAATCATCCTGTTCTGTGAGGCTGACTTAATGCTAACATTTCCATCCTTAGCACTGTCAGCGGTAAGTGCCATCCATACCAGGTGGAAACTTGGCAGCAAGGTTCTGTGGTGTTCCACAGTGGCAGGCCGTGAATTTTTTGGCAGCTCTGTTTACATTTAAAAGGAAGGAATTTATTATTAATAAACATTTGTGCCTTATTACCTACAGTCAGGGACTAAGTCACGCTAAATCATGTTAAATTTCTATGTACTCCATAGCGTCCCTACCTTCACATTATACTATAGCTTTTTTTTGGTCTGTTGTGAATGTATATATTGATGTATTAGAGAAATTTTCAGGAAGAATATGTGAAAGGGTGGTAGCTGGTATGGGAAGCAACACTTCATAGTAATCTCCTTCAGAATAGACCGGTATCAAAGTTACATCCTGGGTATGGTTTGCTTTAGATAATTTTGGTAAATGGTTCCATAATTGTATGTGTCAGTTTGAATAATGGTGTGCTGCTACTGAATTTAGTTGGTTTAGCTGATGGATGCTGCTTATTGTTTCTCACTCAAATAGCAGACCCCCAATCCAAACAGAGCTTTTGGCCTGGGCTCTATCCTAGTCTTGTCCTAGCTTGTGCCTGCCTCCTGAGGAAACAGGTTTTGCAACTTGGATCAAGTACATGCCTGTAGTGCAGCAAAGATCAGCATTTCTTCCTCTGTGCAGTCGATTTCTTCTAACAGGATGGCCCAACGGGCTTGTTCATATATTTGGTTTATTCGCACTGCATCATACTGTAGCAAAAAAGAACAACATTGGTCATTAATGACCATCAAGATACAGATTCACGGTCAGCTGCAGCTCACCTAACATCGGGCTGAAGCCATAAAGGTTATTTCCTTCCTCCCCCCACCTCTGCCCTGCTGTATGTTCCCATCCTTCTCTTGTACTGGCTCGTGTGATTGTGAGTAGGGTCACAGTGGCTTGCTGATCCAACAGAAAATTAATCAGGAGTCCTTGGCTGAAGCAGAAGGGGAGATTAAGACATCCTCTTTTGTGGTAGTAGGCCTTGGATTGGCTTAACCAACATGTGAAACCACGCTATGAGAGTGAAAATAACGTGACACAGCTGATATGAATGTGACATTCAACAGCTTGCTACTGCCAGAAGACAGAAACTCTTATTCCTTACTTCCCCTCTTCTGCTCTCAGCTTTTTCGGTTCTGGCTCTATCTTTGCACTAGTTTGACATTTGTCAGATCTTGCTGTGAACTGCTTTAACTCACTCTCCATTTTTTTGGATAGTGATTGTTTCTTATTATCTACTTGGTTAATAAGCTGAAGTGACTCTCAGAAATATTCAAGCCCTAGAGCTGGTGAAAGGTAGGTGATGGGAGGGTAAACCTTGGAGCGTGACCTGTCTCAATAGTGGTGAGCTATTAAGTTGCCTGAAGCTGTTTTGCGTTATTTCATCTTATGGCTCCATGGCTGGCTGGGGCAAAGAAGGGAAATGTTTGGGCTGCTGACATTGAAACACGTACTTGAATTTTAGTGGGGATGGCATTTCACCCAAAAACATGCCACCTGAACTAGAAAGTGCCTTTCTGTTTATCTGAGATGCCTGAAATGAAAGAGTTTTACAGAATTTACAGAAAATAACAATGTGAAGGCCAAATCCTCTAAAATTCACATTTGAACTCTTGTTGATTTACACTGGTCAATGATCATGCTTTAATTTCACTAAATTTATCACCCAAGCCTTAAAAACACTGGCTTAACACAACCACCGTGACTGACTTTTAGTGGAAATAAAGGCAAATGAGAGGCAAATTGAGAAAAACATTGAAGTGATTTTTGAAGACTAAGTTCTTGTTTTCAAATGGGACTTAAACACTTTTGCTGAACTTTCCAAAGGTATTTAATCACCCAGTTACATTGAAACAAATTTAAGTGCCTGAGTGCTTCTGAGGGCTTCACCCTAGAAAAGCTGAATATTCAGTGAAGGGCAATGGAACATGTATGTCATTTTTAAGTCCATTTTCAAAAATAGGGGTTATACCTTTACATCATTTAGGATACTGTTGGTTTAGTTTTCCCCTTAATTTTTCTTATTAAAAGAGGCAGAAAGTAAACCAGCCCCTCTGGAAATCTGGATACTGTTTCTGGTGCTCTTCAGATCTCATCTTTATACTTAAGATCTTATTTCAGGTGAGGAACGGTGATTCAGTGTCCAGAGGGGAAAAGTGCAGCCTTAGCTGCGGGGAAGAAGTTGAATTTGATCTCGGAAGGGCCTGTAACAAATCCTAGCTAAAATTCAGTATCCTTGTGCTATAGCTCCTTGACATGAAAGCAGGCAAACAATGAATAGCAATAAAAACAAAGCTCTTACTTTTGGATTCAAATCAAAGAAAGTGTAATATTTAAAGCGTAAAAGAAGTTGATCGTCCTCCAGAATGCCTTGTTCCATAAGTGATCGAGATGAATCTAGCCAGCTGTGGAAGAAAACAATCCACAGATTCATCGGTACAGGAAAATCTATCACACCCGCAGAGCTCCAATGTACTTGTGAAACAAAAGAGGGAACAAACAGCTCTAATTCCTGCAAGTCTGGGGAAAATCCATGTAACTCGAGAAGGTGAATCACATGGATTTCCAACTTTCATTGTATAAACACAATACCTAAAATCTTCCTATTTTTTTCTCCAGCACTATGCAAAACGTCAGGAGTACATGCCAGAAACTGAGCAGTAACTAGCTGTGGGGTGACCTATGCCAATAAGATTCCTTCTTCTTGATCTCCAGAAGTGGGATGTTCATTTAAGCCAGGGCAAAAGTCTGCCTGTAATATTTAGAACTCTCACTTTTCATTTCAGTATTTGCTGTTTTAGAATTCTAGCTACTTCCGTTCTCCAGTGAAATCCAATGAAAGTATCAAAGTCACTGTTAAACGCTCCACAGATCTAAAAATGACAATCCATATTTTAATGCTAGAGAGACAATCCCCTCAAACACTTGCACCACTAAACCCCTTAGGGCTCTGTATTCTTCTGTGGTGTACAATAAGCAATGTTTGCTTGTGCATAACTCAGTAGGTCACCTTTTTGTAATGCGTTAGAGCTTTACTGAATTTATCCACGTGTATTTCCACTGTCCATTTAAAGCCTTTAGAGTTTGCTATCCAAACTCTCCTTTAGCTGTACCCACAGGACTAAACTGGATTTGCCTTCATCTAACAACAGAATTTAGTCCAGAGCCTGCACAATTACATCATTCATCACTTTAAAACAAAATTGCCTAACCAAGAATGTTGAATAAGGAAAAAAGATTAAAAAGAGTAAGTATTTCTGAAACAAAACGTAGATCAAAGCATGTTTTTAAGTATCAATATAGCCACGTATCAGGGGTTTGTTTCCAAATTCTGCTTTACACTTAAAAAGCTGGATTAATGCTACCCTTGTTAAGCCAGCTAACAAAGATCTGAAAGAGAGGCATCTTACCCTGCATTGAGCTTGGCTTTGTCAGCTAAAGTCCGAGGCTGGTACATCTCTGCTAGTGTTTCTGGAGAACAGTTGGGATGACTGAAGGCGAGGATGCTGCAGTTCTGCTCAGTCAAGGGACTGTCACTGAACCAAGTAATTGTAGAAGAAGCTGGTGTCCCACTGATGGGATCATAAATGGGTGTCATGGTTTTACTATATAAACCTGGACTTCCTGCAAGTTAAGAGAGTAATGTATTATTCCAGGGAAAACTGCCTTGAGTCTTAGGTAGTCTACCACTTCCCATCATAAAAGACTAACCCTTTTCTTTCAAGACAGTCTCCTATCTCTGCTGTTTACAGCAGGCCTTGTCCTTTCACAGGTGAAGTGACCTCAGGGACAGAAGTGCTCTTCCTTGTTCTGTGAGATATCTCAGTTGTGTTGGAGATAGGAAACACATACTTTCAAGCCTTCATTTCTCCTTTGCCTTGGAGGTTGCCAAAATTGTTGAATATTTTAAGAGTGGTCTCACATTTTCAAAGAGTAGCAGCACATCCTGTGTGCAGGGCCACAGCTGATCACCTGTTTTCTGGTATAGCCTTTCTCATACCAATGGAAAGGAAAACATTTAAAAACAACCGAAAAATATTGATATGCTGGAGATTTCAGTAAGTTCTTGAAGCCACTAATTTCAAGCCAACTGTGTCTCTCTGACACCATCCTACATTAAACTGGTCTCCCTGGTTTTAATTGTGTAGCAAAGGATTTCTTCCTCTTTTTGACTTTCAGTCAGAAGAACAAAATCATATTGGTTTTTCATTACCTGACAATCCAGAACTCACTGGAGAGTTGCACAGGTTTAAAATATCTTCTGTAACTGGTTCTTTGCTGTTCTTGTCTTTTTTCTTTTTCTTTTTGAGTGCATCTTCTGATTGCTTCAACAAAGAGAGTTCTTCTGACCGTCTGATATCTACAATGGCAATTTGGGAAGTGAAGCAAGATGAAACATTTGAAACTTAGCAGCTTAGATCCAAAAAAAGCCCATGGCTGGTAATACCATTTGGGGAAGCTCCATGTTGCAATCTGAATTTTATTTTTAGCAGATTGAAAGCAGTAGCCGCGGAAAATCCAGTAATTCAATAACAAGGCCAAAGACTTTGAGCTGTGAGAGTGAGTTTTGACAGGATTTAAGCCTGCTTTTGTAGCAAGCGTAACTGCATTTTAGAACACCAGGGAAAAACTTTCTCCCTAATGGCTCTGCAGTCACCTTTGAGCATAATAACCTCAATGAAATGTCTGACTTATGGATAAGCAGGAACAGAAATGGAACCACTGTATTTGAAGTTCATGCCTTCTATTATTCACTTACGAATTTTATATTTCACATACAAGATTCTGTCTTGGCTATATGCTATTCCCTAATGCACTACTGATTCAGACATGTATTGTCAGTTGCAAAGCTGACACTTTGTTTCTGAAAAACACTTTTATCCTGGGGTAAGCAAAGACATTTTTGACAGTATTCACCCATGAGAAAAATTACAGGGTTCCTGTACTGACTCAATCTGGAAGAAAAATGTGGGTAGAAATATTTAATTGGGCCAAATGTCAGTTGAACAGTTATGGCATCATTTTATCAGAGCTGTTAAATGTAATAAAGACATACTATCCCTTTCACAATCCAGTATTAGAAGATGAAATTGAAAGCTATATTGTGGTCAATATGAGGTGGTAAATCCCTTCTGAGGATGAATGTGTTATTGGCCTAAGCTTTGAAGATCTAAATTAAAGAATCCCTGAAACTAAGGGATTCTGAAGACTGTTTGCAGACTCAACTTATCCCTGTGGATCACAGGCACATGCTCCAAAACCTGATCTCTGCTTGGAGGTGCTCCATTACTGGAAAGAGCAGAGACACGGGGACTCAGTGCTGCAATACATTCATGGGCTTGTGTGGGGTAGTTGGGTATGCCCTGACCTGAAGAGGTTTGGGCATATAGAAGTTTTGAATGTTTAAAACATGTTCCTTCTGAAGTAAATACATATAACCAATAGGCCACATTGAATATCATTAATGCTAGTGAAAGTAGGTGATAAATCAGTTGACACCAGTAAAATTGTCTGTGGTGAAAGCTGGTGGAGGAGATTGATAAGCTCGAGCTCTTAGTCAATGGCATAGAATAAGCAGGACTGACTCCTGGCTCAAGGAGGACAAGGATCCCTACAAAACCATCAAGAGGACTTTGACTATCCAGTACTCCTGCAGCTCATGGGACACATTTCTTGCACTGTTTGCATCAGTTATCACAAAGACTGAGAACCACTGACATGCTGATACTGAAAACCAAAAAATCTGTCTTTTGATCTTGGGTCGAGTCAATCAAATTTCTCCTTGAGCTGAACAGTTTTGTGAGTAAGGACTTCACATTAAAACAAAGTCACCTAATAAAATGCTCCAACTTAGCTGCCAGAGGGGATTTAGCTTTACTTACTGAGAATTTTGCAGATGTCACTGACAGCTTTGAATACCACAGAAGAGAAGCTGACTTTCAGTCTCACAGTCTTCATGTTTGGCAAGCGAAGCCGCAGCATTTTGTGCTGAGTAGTAAAGAACAGCTTAGCATCTGCCTGCACCCCACATTTATCGAGTGTCCAGTGGGTTTTCAGAAGCCAACATTTTTTTTGCTCCCACCAAAGAGCATAGTCTGACCAATCTTGTGATATTTCTAGGAAAATACAAAATGGTTATTAATAAACTATGGAGCAAATATACTAAAAAACTTGGTTTGGAAACAGTGCTCTGCAAACAGGAGAATTTATTTACATGAAAGTAGCAACTACAGTTCCTGAGACCTAGATCCCATTTGCTGAATACTTGTGGCAGTCACTGGGAACTAACTTTGTTTTCCCTGAAGAGTTAACCTAGGTGCTGACTGTGGCACTGCCTTAATCTTGCAGATATCCACAGGGAAAGTGCATCTCCTGAATCTGGTGCTATACGTGGTCCAATGCTGCTTGGATTGTGCAGGGCTATAGACTAATAACAAGGGTACCCACTTTGCAACTTGATAGTGCAAGCTGAAAATCCTCCCACAAAACCTTGTGTGTACCCAGATGGGCACAAGTTCTTCCACAATCTCCGGGGAAGCACCACTAAGCAGCTCATCTCTATAGTGTTAAGAACCAGCAACGAGTCCTTTGAAGTCTTGGTGACACACAGCTAAGGGCTGGTCTCAGCTCTCCTCTGTGGCTGTGCAGTTAGACTAACAAGGATGCTCATCTGAGCGCAGCCCACTTATGACAACTTTACAGTGGCAACATTCTTTAAATAATCAAGGAAAAGAATGATTATTTTGGGAGTAAGCCCTGTGACAATCAGGAAAGAGTTAACAAGCTCTCTAACAAATAAGATGACCTTCTCTACCACACAGGATGCAGAAACTTGTAAGGGAGGTAGAATGGGCATGATGCGATATGGTACAGTTAAATCTTTCATTAGTCTGTGCAGGAGGGCAGGCTGGTGTGACTGACCAGGGACTGACAAGGGTTGCCTACAAAAACTTCTCAGAGAAGACAGGCCTGCCAAGAGATGACTGTCTTGTTTCACTAATATGGACTTGCCTGTGTTTTGCTTAAATAAAAAATGTTTGTGTATTTTGTACTTTGAAAACACACAGATAAAGTAAGGCTTCCTGACTCAAGAACAGATAGAAGACTTTGTTAATGATTTACATTAAGAGTTTTGGAGGGGGAGAACAGTGGCTTTTGTCCGATTACTCTTGAGCAGTAAGCTATCCTGACCCAAAAGGTGTCAAAACCCTGACTAGATCAGCCTGTAAAGAGATAAAGCATTGCTGCTCTCAGTTCCATGGGGAATTCCGAGATTAGATGACTTCCCAGATGCCAAGGATGTGTCGCGGCAGGTAGCGTTTCTGTGTAATCTTGGTCAAGTTGTTTCAGTCGTCTGTGTCATTTCTCATTCCTCCTCACCAGCTCCATCAGGTAGAGGCTATTCCTCAGCGTGTCTATAGCACAGTAGAGCCCTGTCCTATTTTGGAGTTTCTTGGTAAAAAATTGTGTCTCAAGAGAGCTGCTGACACAAATCACTTAATTACAGATTGGCTTTAAATATTATTTAACACAGAAAGCTTTTCACACTAATTGAGTACTAGTTATAAAAATACTGTGAAAAATTAGTCTTCTGACCCAGTGAGAACTCCAGCTACCATTGGTTTGCTGGCTGAATTGTGTGTTTAAGTATGCATAGAAGTTGGTAGAAATGTATCACAGATATGTTACCTGCGTTAATGCTGGAAAAGGGATTCCCTGATAAAATCACTATTTCCAAGTAGAGCTTTTCCATCGCAATGGGTTTTCATGTAAAAATGTCCTTCCATTGAATGGGAGCCTTTTGGAAAGGGTATCTTGTGCATCTCCCCTTTGTTTCCTTCAAAACCCAAGTTTGAAAACAAAACCATTCATTCGGCAGTAAGAACTCTGAAATTAAGTTGCCGATTTTAAATTTCTTGACACTACTTTGCTGAAGGGTTATGTTACAGTTCAGTTTTTCTCTTCTTGCTTGTCTGAAGTCAAGCTATGTAAAAAAGACTAAAGTTTCAAGGAGGTTTCTTTGACTTTTTTTTTTTGTTGCCACAAATCTTGTATTTCTAGAGCAACTCATAGAAATGCAAAGCTCATGGTGTTCCCACTTGCGATTCTAATCTAGCAGACAGGTTCCTTTCTGTGTGAAGTTGGTGACTGAAGACTTCTAGATTTAAGAATTCCAGGAAAAAGAACAATACTTGAAGAATGAGTTGCATATGAAAACCCTGTGGCATTGATGTAATAATCAAATACCGTACTACCTTGTCTGTATCTATCATTCTACAGCCTCAGAGTGCAGATAATTATTTTGGGAGGCAGCTCCATTTGATGGCTTTGAGTTAAAGAAATCTAGATTCTCTTGTTGCCTGTAGCGCTGACTTGCTGTGACTGTACATAGGGTATTTCACCTTTCATCTCGTAGCTTTGACTCGGCCAGTCTCTGCTCTTCACAGCTGTTCCCTACTGGATATATGCAATGGATAATGTGGCTCAGATTTTGACTAGAATGCTACTTTAGCCCAGGAAACAGTTAACTTCTGAAATGCCTTTGTAACAACTAATCCTGTCTCTTTGACTGCTACAGATGGATAAATAGGGTATCAGCTACCTTTATTGCCCCTCAAACTAGCCACCTATAAAGTCTATCTGGAAAGGGAGCGGAATAGTTAGTCTAGTCCAACTATATTTGTCTAACTGGAAGACAAAAACAAAGTAAAGTTTTGTTTGCACTGTGATAGTATAGGGGCTTTAGTCACAGACAGGGAGGGGTTCTGGCCACATAAAAACCCTGAGTCTGCAGCACCTACGTGCTCGGTGTACCGTTACAAAGAAGTAAGTGAGGCAGTGCCATTTCAAAATGCGCAGAAGCCTCTTTTTGTGGAAGGAAAGCTGCATGTATTATTTTAATAAAACTGTGTAAATTAAACAGGTCTTTACTCACTGATTTGTTCTACTAATTTCAGCATCACTCCTCCAATATGAAGGTCCCCTGTGACCCGTAGTAAAAATTCCTTTTGTACCTCTTCATGCTGATGATCAACTGTCACCAAGAGCTCCCAGGAATGAGACCCATATTCACTTGAGGAAATCATTTTGGAAAGGTCTATGTAAGCTCTGCAAAAACAAAACAAACAGGCAAAAAGGATATTTTTCCTCCACTCTCTGAAACAAACGCATCTCTCCACAGTCTCAAAATGCCTCTGTGCTGCCAAAACTTTGCAGTGGCCTTGGCTGGAACTTCAGACGTGTTATCTTGTTACCTCTGAACTAGACTCTGCTCTTGTGATTACTCTTGCAAGATAGGCATGTGGGATTTTTTGTTTTTATTCTGATTTCGGCTCCGCCCCCCCCCCCCAACTCAGGTGTCTCCAGCTGGGTAGAGATAGCCCAGTGTTACCTGGGTTTCCCCACTATGCGATGCTAATCTGCCAGTCTGGACACCACAAAGCCTGCAGTTGTGGGTGGGATCTGTTTTGGCAATCTGTCCAGTGAATTTCGTTGACTTGTACACATATAGCTGTAATTTTCACTGCAAATTAAAGTTTACACTTGCAGTTCTGCCAGCTTGGTCCCATGGGACCAAAACCAGAGAGCAGTTTTACCTATTTGGGTAGATGCGAGGGGAGACAAATAACTTTAATGGCTCTCTGCCAGCAATATCCAGCACATAACACCAGTTTCTGCTGATTGTGTGCTTGCACAGAGATGTAGGCATGTATCCTGTCTCAGCAGGGCAAATCATCTGAGATCCCACCAGGCTCCTGCCAGGACAGGTAAACAGTAATCACGCCAAGCCAAACTAAAGAAGATGCTCAAAGTAGAAGCTGTGGTTGTCATCAGTAGAGTTCTGCTAATTACTGAAGAAAGAGCTTGTAGGTATAAGGTCATGCTGCAGGAAGGATTTGGGATATTTAACTAGTGAGAGAAGATACCAGGTTAGCACTCCGTGCCCTGTTAAACTGAACCCTAAGAAACAAGCCTTTGCAGTTGAAGCTTAGGCAGTAAAGTGGATGACTTCCATTTATTGCGGACTTTCAGCAATACCTGAGAACCCAAGTCACAAACAGACTTTATTAAAGGTGCCATACACAGACTGCTTCTAACATAAAAAATAACTAGGATTTATTTACAAAGAAGGCTAGAGGGGATGTAACAATATTAACAGATCTTTTTAAAAAGAAGTATTTAATAAGTTAAACCCCTTAGCCTAAAAGTTAGCTCAAAGCCGGAAAAATCAAGAACCGTTGTCACAGGTGAGGAGTGAGAGAAGGAATGACCTTTTCTAGGACTGATTGCAGGACAAGACCAGACTGGCTTAGGTTACACTAACATGAAATTAAGCTAAAGGTTAAATAAAGCATGCCTAGAAACAGGGTGAAAATTTAAGTTCACCTATCCACCGAATTTATAATAACGAAGCTTTATGTTACCAATTAGATAATAGAAGAGGTTTTTAGTGCCAAAAGATACTAATTCAGGGCAAAGCCCAGTTCAATGTTCATTCTGAAGTTCCCTTCCAGAGGTGCAAGGAGGCTCTTGCAACTCAACAGCCAGTCTGTTACAGCTTAACCTTCCCCAGACTTTCAGTTGTTATTAATGTTTCTTAATGTCTTATGGTTTAAGAATTTCAACAGGAAGACTTTTGATATTTTGTCAAATTACGTATCACGCAGTATTTGCATTATGAAGTACAACATAAATCAAAGTCATCTAACTGTTTCGGTGAAGTTCTTTTAAAATCTGTTCTCAGAATAGTAACGTTGTAGACTTGGTTCCTTGAACTCCTTTGGGCCTAGGGCACGCCGGGTGTTAACCCGACTGATACAAAATTTGATATCAAAGGGATTATAGAAATGTGGTGGTAATGACAAATTCTACTAATAAGGAAAAGTGATTCCAAAGGTAAAGGCAATGAAAGTGTATCTGTTAAAGATGAGATTGACCCCCCTCAAATGAATTACAATATAAACGAAACAATCTGTCCAGGTCACAAACATCCTTATAGGAGAAAATCACCTTACCAAGGAGTTTCACTAGAACAGTCCTGGGAGTCTGCCCTGAAATTCTAAAATCATGATGACTTACAGACAGCCCTAACTCAGAAAACTGCAACTTCATAATCGTAGGACTCCAAGAGGCTAATTTACACTGAGGAAGAAATGCTATTGTTAATTATGTTCTTGGATTGCCAGCCTACACCTTTTCACCAAACAATTACTAAACCAACAAAGGTTGATACTTATCCAAAAAGTTTGTTTGTTTTGCCTTGGTAAATAAAGACATGGTGTTGGACGCTGGAAAACACTATGGCTTTCCCGCCTCAGGGACAGAGCTGGGATTTTGAATTTGTGGTGCTGCGTGCCACATGGATGTACTAGCTTAGGTATGCATTAGACCAGGGGGTACCTGGTGGTGGGGAAGGGCTGTGCCTCTCCTGAAGGCACAGTGTCCAAGAGACAGCTCCTGAGATGGTCTCCCGGGCAGATGAGGCTTTCAGCACAAGGGCAGTACAAAGTCTAGAGAACAGTTACCGTTGCACTGTATTCACTGCAAAATAAAAATCCTGGCTTTAGAAAATTCAGAACGCCACTAGTCACTCTCCTAAGCATCAACAACAGCATTAAAAAGAAATAAATCTACAACTGGCCTAAGCATGAGAACGACGTGCTTTCGTTTCAGGAGCATGGGTATGAAATCTGGCAGGGGCACTATACTTTTGCCTACACTACAGTTCACTATAAGCCAGTATTGTTACTGAAGAGAAGCCGTCTCATCTGTCCTCTGTGCCAGCAAAAACATTTGGGAGCTGATCTGGATTTTTTTTTTTTCTTTTAAATTTGGTTTAGCTTCCCAGTCTAATTCGGTATACAAATGCTTGTGCTGACATGGGTGAAAATGAGCAGCCCAAGGGGTGGGTGCAACTCGTTCTTTCATTCACGCTGGCTTGGAAAACCATGGCCTCAGTGCAGCTAATCCTGGCACTCCATCATTCCCTAAAACTGCTCTCTTCCCCACTTCCTCTTCAAACCAGAAGGTTTTAGTTTGATGATAAGAAAACACCAACACTAGTAAATCTATCACAGAACGCAGCACAAGCAAAGCCCAGTCTCAAAAAAGTGGCAAGCTAAGCAACAAAGACAACTAACTATTGTGTATTAAAAACCAAAGCAACCCAAACTGCAAGGGCAGGCTGTGCATGCTCCATGTCTTAAAACCTTCAGGTCAAGACTGGATCTGCTCCGGGAACGCGCCCCAATTCCTGGGCTCCACGTGGGTTGCAGCTGTATGGCCTGGCACAGGGAGATCAAAAAGGCCAGAAACATGTCTTCAGGCTACTGCTGACTCTAGTCAGTATTTCTACAGCGCATTTTAGACACACAGCTATAAAAAAGCAGCAATTACTCTACAGATCAAGCTCTCCGCAAATTTTAGCCCTTAGAGCCCCGAATTTCAAACTTTGTGTGGAAATACAGGAGGATGTTAGTCGTGCTAAAGCAGGAAAAGATCCACTTTAAGGTAAAGGGGGGAAAACCAGAGTATGATGTTTCCCTGAGTATTTCTAAGACAGGTAGTGCCCTGGCATCTTTCGGAAGGTAACTGCCGGGAGGTAAGGGGTAAATACGGCACCAGTCTGTGCTCCCTCCTGCACGGCTCCGAGGGCAGAGCCGGCCTTTGAGGAAGTGCCAGGCTGCCGCTGCTGGTG